CAAATTGAATTAATAAATAAATAAATAAATTACATATTTGTAAGTAAACTTCACTAAGTCAATATGGCTTCACTATGAATGAGATTGTCTACAGTGATGAACCACCTGGTTAAAATGAGCTATGCATAATTCATAATTAGGCAAGGACTGAAACTCATTTTTAAAAATATTTCTGCATTTAGGCAAGTACAGCCCAATTTAGTGGCCTAGTTTGTTCAACCACCTACTGTAAGCCCAATGTGATTATGAGCTATAGTTTATGACCATTCAGCCACAGTTGTATTGAGCAAATCATGGTGAAAACAAACCATTTTTATATCTACCAAATATCCCAACATTGCAACATCAGAAATTTTGATGCATTCATGTTTCATGAATGAAAACAGTCCTAAACATGAGGCACAGAGAATGTGCCCTTATGTGAGTCCCAAAAAAGATCTTGAAGGCAAATGCTTGGATAGCACATTTTAAATATATACCATATAAAATCAGGATAAGCAGGAGAGAAGCAGCAGTTTCAACAAGGATTCACAGAAGAAACTGGATCCAAGAAAATGGCATTTATCTTCCTTATTTGGAATAAAGCGAACCAATAAAGGAGAATATTTGTAGCTCAGGATTGAAATGAGGGATCCTTGGTATTCTCTGAGCTTGCTTGTTTTCTTGCAGACGTTTCATTACCCAAACTAGGTAACATTATCAATGCTAATAAAGAGTGCTGTTTGCTGTCAGTTTATATTCTGGTGTCTTGCCTGCTTGTGCAGGTGGGGCCTGTCTTGGGGATTGTCTTGAGCTATTTACTAATAGTTCTTTGGCAGTTCCTTGATTGAGGTATTGCTTACTTGACTGTGGGTCTGAAGTTGACCTTGGAGTTAATCTATGCTGATCTGAGGTGAGTCAGAGAGGTGCTGGAGTCTTTTTGTTCTCTTTTGGGCTGGTTGATTGTCTCTTTTGCATAGTCTAGCTATGTTGTTAATGTCTATTTTTTTAAAAAAAATTGATTTATATGCCACCCTTCTCCGGAGACTCAGGGCGGCTTACAATGTGCTAAGCAATAGCCTTCATCCTTTTGTATATTTATACAAAGTCAGCTTATTGCCCCCACAATCTGGGTCCTCAATTTACCTACCTTAGAAAGGATGGAAGGCTGAGTCAACCTTGAGCCTGGCGAGATTCGAACCTGCAGTAATTGCAGGCAGCTGGTCTTAATAACAGGGTGCTTTAAACCACTGTACTACCAAGGCTCTTTGTCTACTGATGGCTGATTTGTCAGAGTGCCAAGCTTCTAGAAATTCCCTGGCATTTTTGGATTTGGCCTGGTCTAGGATTGTCACATTTTCCCAATAAAGAGTAAATAAAGAGTAAGAATATTGAGGGTGAAGGTTTGTTCTCCAAGCTTGTGGGTTGGTTTCTGAACGTTTCATTACCAGACTAGGTAACATCTTCAGTGAAGTTTAGGGGATGTCACTGTTCTTCTGTTTATAAGGGCTTCAGGTGTGGGTGTGTCAAGTATTGTGATGGATCAATTGTGAGTAATCAGTGAACCTTGTGATGGGTCTTGCGATGGGTCTTGTGAGAAGGAGATTACATCAGGTCAGGGTCATTGGGAAGTGAACTGCTGGTGGGAGGGGTTACGTGGGTTGGTTGAGGGTTGGTGCTCTCTCTGGTTGGCTGTGTGGTTGATTTGGATTCTGAAGGGTTTATAGGCTGGTTGTAGGTCAATGTTCCTGTTGATGAAATTGCTTGTGGAATGCCAGGCTTCGATGAACTCACGAGCATGGCGGGTGATAGTGTGGCCAGTGTCACACTGCAGCACCATAACACTAAGTGTGATGACCCAGGACAAGGCACAAAGGACACACTGTCAGCTGAGAGTTTAAACCCCCCTTTAATGCTCCAAATTTCCCCTCAAATCTTCCCATGTTCTTGTCCCGAGCAAAGCGCGCACACACACACACACAGCAGACTCTGGCTGTGCCCAGTCCAGCAAAACAAAGGAACAGGGAAATGAGTCCACGAAACAAGAAACAAACAGTGGGTCCACAAAGTCAGGAACAAGGTACTGAGTCCACAAAGTCAGGAAGAAGGCACTGAGTCTACAAGTAAGGAAGAAGCAAGCAGTCCTGCAAATTCCAAATGTCTGTACTGGCACACCAAACTCTACCAATTCAGCATTTGTTACCGACAAATGCCCCTCCCCAAAGCATCTCCTTAAATCCCAGTCCCCAGGTGTGCCTTGTGAAGAAGGGTGGGGCGCTCTCCTCCCAAGTTGTCGGGTCAGCCTGCACTGTTCTCACCTTCTCTCTGTGTTCAGGGATCAGGAGGGGGCGGTCCTTGCTCATCGCCTGAGCTCCGTTGCTCATGTCCATTGCTTGCCCTTTCTTCGTCATCCTGCCCCCGTTCCTCCCTACTAACGAGCCGTCCCAAGCCTGAGGGGCCCTGGGCTGCCTCGGCCTGATCCTCCCCACATTCCTCCGAAGCCAACGAAGTTGCCCTCTTGATCTCCGTCAGCTCCAGCTCCGGCTCATCCTCCCAGATTCAGGCTCTGACGGGGGCATGACACTAAGAACAGTGGAAGAGAAATGGCTGCTCAACATCTTTCTCTGTAACGGCTATCCAAAAAACGTCATATTCCGACACACAGCACTCAAACCACAACACACCTCACAGCCAACCACCACGCAAAAACTAACCTTACCATACACAAAAGGGGTGTCAGAAATCACAGCTAGAATTCTCTAACCCCTAGGAATAACAATAGCCCACAAACCCTGATGCTGACACTCACCTAAACTCTGCTGAAGATGTTATCTAGCCTGGTAACTAAATGTTCAGAAACCAATCGACAAGCAAACGAACCTTCACCCTCATACTATACCCGAGCTACAGATATTCGCTGCTATTACAAAGTAAGAATACTTTCTGAATGTTTCTCAGTACAAAATATATACCTTCTAATTGATGGGATGTTAGCCTTCAGATTTTCCAAAAAGAAAAATGTGTACATGCAGAAGTGGGTGTGCTTCAGGTACCTTTGATTGAATTGTTTAATCTTTATCAGGACTTAGGAAACGTGCTTCTTTGTTGTGGTACCTGCATCTGGAACAGCATTTCCCCAGAGAGACTTAGACAGCTCCTATCCTGATGACATTCAGAAAATGACTGAAAACTTGGCTGTCTCCCAAGCCTCGGGGCAAAGTGGTGGTTGAGTTCCTACAGGATTTTGTTGTTGTTAGAAATTATGTGCCTTCTGTATCCTTATAATTTCTCTGCTTTTTTAATTTTTCCTTTTTTTTAAGTGTACGCCAGGGTCATTTTGGAGTTGAGTGCCTCTCAACTGTATAAATCAATCACTCCCAGCACCAATAATTCATAAGACTTGCAGCATAGATTTGCTTTTTCCCTCAGGAGTACAGGCAACATGACCTGAATTTGGAGACATTAATATTCATTTTTGTTAGGATTAAATCTTTCTCTGCCTGTCCTGGAGCTGAAAAGAATCTTTTCAGATGCTCTGTGGTTGCTCTAGGTTTCCAGAGATACTTGGTGAATTTCTCAAGAATTTGGTAGGCAGTTATGCTGAATCTTTGCACACTTGCTGGAATGAGGAGGTAGCAACAGCCTTGGAGAGGAATGCACCTGTGTAGCTTCTTCTGGTTCACTGATTCAAAGGAGCTCCTTGGTTTGCTGATAAGTTCTGGTAGATGCTGCAAAGGAACACCTAGCGTGACAATGGCAGAAGACAGTGAAATAAATTTACGAAACAAGAGTACTGTAAGAGCTCAGATTCAAGTGGCGATTCAAGTGCTCTGTGGAGGTAAGAGCAGTGAAATGTCGATACTTCTCTACTCTTTTTACACTTTCAGATGCTATTTGGCATCTCTCTTTCAAGTAACCTTGAACATTTGGTGAAAGGATGCACCAGGATGTCTCCTGAATGGCTGTAAAGAGTTTTGAGGACCCGGTTTGTGGGGGCAATAAACTGACTTTGTATAAAAAAAAACACCGCTTGGGGGGGGGGCGAAAGCCCTACTAAGCAGGTATATACAACAGTATGAAGGCTATTGCTTAACGCATTGTAAGCCTCCCTGAGTCTCCGGAAAAGGGCAGCATATAAATCGAACCAATAAATATTGCTTAGGTCCATTCAAGGTTAGACACTAACTGTGTAGCTCAAACTGAGGTGAAGAAAGACTCATCCTATGAGATTATCTACGATGGTTTGAATCTTAGCCCTGAAGACATCAACTCCGCCCAGTGATGCACTAAGTGGCGGCAGGAGGGCAGTCTGCTCCAGGTACAAGCAATAAGGGCAGTGCTGCTGAATAACGAAGCTGTTAGTAGTGGGTATGGACTTGAGTTGCTGCTGCATGTGTGCCAATCAGCTGATTGGTGGTTGGCATCAATGCAGCAGCGACAGAGGAAAAGAATTGTTCTGTCAAGCCAGTTTTGACTCCTGGCACCTGTCCCCTGCAGCTTTCTTGGCAGCATTTTTCAAAAGTAGCTTGCCAGTTCCTCCTTCCTAAGGTTGAAAGAAGAGACTGGCTTTGTGTCTCAGGCAGGATTATAACTCACAGTCTCCTTGTTTCCAGCCTAATGCCTTAACCAGTACATCTCTACTCTTTAAAAAAAAAAAAAAAAACCTGCTCCAAGTATCATATATTCTAGGCCTGACCTTACCTCCAGAATGTTTTATTTTTTTGGTTGGTGAATACCTCCAAGGAGGTGATAGAAACATGGCTTATAACTGTGGCAAATGGTATCACTAACCTTCAAAGAGGCAGTTGTGCATCCTTTATTCATGAAGGCATCACTCGACATAGAAACCATCTTTCTGAGAGAAGTTTCATGCCTGGATACAGTATCAAGATCACACTGATCCCTCATGTTGATGACTTGTGGCTGGACCAGGATAGAGGAAGTGCAATCCTCTTCATCCTTCTTGGCCATTCAGCTGCCTTTGATACCATCAGTTATGGTGTCCTCTAGGATCTCTGGAATTTTAGAGTGAGAAATACTGTTTAGAATGGTTCTGCTAATTCCTGTCAGAACAGTTCTAGTAGGTAGTTGATTGGTTGACTCCTAGGGTCCTCTGTTATAAAAATGTTATAAAGCTTCTGGAGCCACCGAGGGACATCACTTATTGACAAAGATCAGGATTTATTAATATGCTGATAATGCTCAGTTCTACATTTTGATCTGTACATGGTTAAGATAGAGAAGATGTTGTCCCATGGCCTGGAGGTGCTAAGATCTGGAAGGGATAAATTGCCTTAAAGCCTCAGCATGACTGACTGATTTTGTTTTGTAGACTATCTAAAGTAAGAAATATATCACTGTTAGTTCTGGATAGGTCACACTCCCCGTTTGTAATAGATGGCAATTGTGTTGAAGAGGGACGCTGCACAATTTTATCTTCTACACCAGTTATGACCATTCCTGGATCAGGAGGCCTTGCACAATCATTCATGTCATGGTCACGGTTGAATTACAAGAAGGTATTGAAGATGGTATAGCTCTTGAAAACTACCTGGAAGCTACAACTGCTCCAGAATCCAGCTTCAGGCAGAGGTAGGTTTCAACAGGTTCTGACCAGTTCTGGAGAACCAGTAGCGGAAATTTTGAGTAGTTCGGACAACCAGTAGTAAAAATTCTGACTGGCTCCACCCCCATCTATTTTCTGCCTCCCAAGTCCCAGCTGATCAGGAGGAAATGGGGATTTTTGTAGAATGGAGATTTTATAGTATCCTTCCCCTGCCATGCCCACCATGCCACGCCCACCAAGCCACACCCACAGAACCGGTAGTAAAAAAATTTGAAACCCACCACTGGCTTCAGGTCACTTTCCTTAAATGCTGGATATAGCGTGACCTAAATAGTATTCCTTGTAGATAGTGGCCCCTACCCTTCTCCAAGACCTGCATGTTCTTACCCTCTTGGTCTTCCAAAAAAAAGCTCCTTGAGGACTAGGTTTTAGTGAGTATTAAGTTTTGATAAGTGTTGTTTCGCCTGCTCCAAGACAGTAAAGTGGGGTTCTGTGTTCAATTGCGGGCAGGGATGAAATCCAGCAGGTTCTGGAGAACCAGTAGCGGAAATTTTGAGTAGTTTGGAGAACTGGCAAATACCACCTCTGGCTGGTCCCAGAGTGGGGTGGGAATGGAGATTTTGCAATATCCTTCCCCCAGGAGTGGGGAGGGAATGGGGATTTTGCAGTATCCTTCCCCTGACACGCCCACAGAACCGTTAGTAAAAAAATTTGAATTTCACCACTGATTGCGGGTGATCTGAAGTCTCAATGAAAACCTCCTGGCCACTCTCTGAGCCCCATTCCTGATCAATATTTGGTTTTGTGCTTCCTCTACAGACTGAAACTCACCCTCCTCCTCTGAACTTGCATTCGAAGAAGGGTCTGGGGGTGGTTCCATGACAAACGATAACACTTATTTCTATTTGTGAAGTTGAATTGAGAAATAACATAAGATACACAGTAGGTTTTATAACTGAGGTTTTAAACATGGGCGCCCCGACCTCATGATAGCTTTTTTTTGTTTTTCTACACGAGCATTTATCTTTGAATAACCAAAGTTAATCAAAAGGAAATGCTTTACTTTGTACAAATGCAGCTTGACATTCTGTAACTGCTCATCAGAACTTGCTAAAGGATGGCTTGGCAGACTAATCTGAGGTTTTGATTCTTTTGGAAGGAAATATAATTATTTCCTTCCATAATTATAATTATGATAGTAATTATGCATACATATACTTTCATCCACATCTAGGGCATCTTGCAAATTTTTATATGGCAAAAATTAATAATAAAATAAGGTGACACATTCCTCCCAGTTCCAATCACAAACTAACTAACCATTCCTTCTAAGAGCAAATTCAATTGTCAAGGAATGGGACCAGAGAAAGCAGTGAAAGATGTTGGCATGCTAAAGGGAAAATTATTTTTCATAAATCCATAAATATTTCAATTGCTTTAAATGTCCATTTTTCATGATGACAGATTATCTATCATTATTTCAGGCCGGCATGGAAACTTAAGACTATGGAGATCTCCATTCACCCCACATGATTCATTGCAAGGATTTCCCTTTGCAGGTCTGGGAACAATAAACATTTCAAAGACAAGAGCTTTTCTCCAACTCTATAAAATTTTTAAAAATATACTCCGTGTGATGACAGTATAGGGGATTTAAAGCTTGATTACACATTTTCAAGGCAATTCCTTCTACTGAGTAGAGCAAATTCAAGAATCTGGATCTGCTCAGTCATACTATCTGCATCTCCTTTGTTGGGGGAGAACATCTCTCAAGGCCTTTGGCCCAGTCATTCCCCAGAGATTAGAGAAGAGAAACGCTCTTAGAAGAACTAATTGTCTCCTCTTTAACACTGCAACATCTCTTAAAGCATTTGCCTCTTGCTTCAAAATATCATATATTGATGTCAATGAAGGTACTTAAAAACTATGATTGGTAGATAGTGGAGGCTTTGAATCAAGAGGACCCCAATTTTTTTCTAAAATTAGGCTTTAAAATCACTTCCATAGATGTTGGTGACAGAGTATTTTCAGGAGAATATCTGTGTTGTTGTCTAGACAAGAACATCAAGGGTTACATATCTGCCCACCTGGTGATGTTATGTGGCTACTAACACATTAATCCAGAGCCAATCTGGTCTTTGAAACAAAAAGAGTTTCCTACATATTCTAAAAAGAATGCACCCTGAAAACAATACTGTGATAAATAGTTCTTACATACTTAAATTAATTTTAAATTTAAAAACTTCCAGTTATGAACAAAAACTAGACTGTATCCTTTCAATGTTCTTTTGCCCGGCTTTTTAATTTCAATTTTAATGGAATATTCTGTCCAGTATAGCAGCAAGAAAGAGGTGTCTTAAAGCTTACTTCTTCTGAAATGAGTGTGAAAATTACTGGATTTGTGCATTGGGTTATGTGGCTTATTTAAAACTGGTGGAAAATGTTGTATAGTTCAGGCACTATGAAGTGCTATGGCTCTTAAATAAAAATTAAATTAAATTAAAATAAAATAAAATAAAAAACATTTTATTTTACAAACCAATATTGAGTTCAGATATGGTCAGGGAGGTTCATGTAAGTGGAGAGGTTTATTTGTAAATTAACAAGTCTGTTTTAATTTTCATATAAAAATGCAAACTTGAGATTCCCACAAAAAAAGAATCCAGAAATGCAGGTATGAACAGACTTTAATAGCCATGATGAATTATTATTTGTATTTTTATCTTGCCTTTTTTATATATTTAGTCAACTCAAGCCAGCGAACATTCCTAGCACTCCACATTTGTCTTAAAAAGCATCAGACAAAGTCCCCATAAAATGAAGCAACTGTCTACAATCTAGTTATGGCGAAACAGTTACATTCCTTGGAAACATATGTCATTGTGCTGCCCCTTTTTTAGTGAAAGGAATTATGACAAGTTTCAAAAAATGCTTAGAAAGTGGAATTATTGAGTTGTCACCCAGTATGTCCCAAGTTGTGAGAAGGATATGCTGTGAAAGCAGAATGTTTGACTACTGGCTCAGAAATGGTTCCTGAATTTTACTGATATTTCTACAGTGTTTTACATGAACATCATTTCTGAGAATTTATGCAGCCACAAACTGCCTATTTTTAGTGGGCTGTGCAGGGTCAATATCTACTATGAAATGTCACACTGTAAAGCTTCACAGGGAAGAGAAATGTGGCCTTCATTAAGGGAAAATTAAATCAATACAATATGATTTTCGTTTAGCTGCCTCACACTAGCAATAAAGTGTATCACAATTGCAACAACTCTCTGAAAGGAAGATTTAAGCAAGCTACTGAAGATTAATCATCGCTTATAATGTTGGAGCCTTCCGCTTGCCACCAGGACTCAGGAAATATTTATGTTCTTCAAAGAACGCTGAAAACAGGTATACAGTACTTCAAGTGTCGTCCATTCATACAATATGAATACTGTACATACCAACACCACAATAGAATATATGTAAGAAACAGCCATGATTTGCTCAATGAGCCATACGATGTGCAAAAAGTTATATATTTACTGCTTCCCCCACTCCTCCCAGCATTTATTCTGCCTTTCTCAAGGACTAAAAATGTAAGAGCCAAAAAAGACATTAATACCTAGGGTTGAAGCAGTATTTGCTACCATGAGAGCCCTCACCTCCTCAGTCAGAATCAAAAAATACATACCTAAAGAATAATCTTTTTTACCAACAGTTTATAGAAATGGTCATTAATCACAAGGGGAAAGTTGTGATGCCTACAAATCCTAAAAAAGTTATTGTTGCTGTCTGCTTGGTTTAAAACTGCATTGTGTCAAGGACTCATCTAAGGCAAGGAATTACAGGTAGTCCTCGATTTACAACAGTTCATTTAGTGACAGTTCAAAGTTACAATGGCACTGAAAAAAGTGACTTATGACCATTTTTCAGAGTTACAACCTTTGCAGCATCCCCATAATCATATGATCAAAATTCAGATGCTTGGCAACTGACTCATATTTATGATGGTTGGTGTCCCAGAGTCATGAGATCAATTTTGGGGATTTTCTGATGAGCAAAGTCAATGGGGAAGCCAGATCCATTTAACAACCGGTCCCAAAGGTGGTTTTTCAGGAGGTAACTGGACTTTCTGGTTTTTCTTTGAAGACGTTTCACTTATCATCCAAGAAGCTTCTTCAGCTCTGATTCTTAGATTCCTAGAGTTGAAGAAGGTTCTTGGATGAGAAGTGAAACATCTTCAAAGAAAATCCAGAAAGTCCAGTTGCCTCTTGAAAAACCACCTTTGGGACAACCATGACCCGGAAGACTGAAAATCTCCATAGACACTTACTAACTTATCAACTGCTGTGATTCACTTATTGATTATTGAATCATATTGATTACTGAATCATACTAGGAAATATTGATTATTTCCTAGTATGATTCGATTGAATATTGTACCATATGATTGTCACTGGGTGTTGTGCCTTGTGATTCTTGACGAGTGTATCTTGTCTTTTTAGGTACAGAGAGCATACCACCAAAGATAAATTCCTTGGGTGTCCAATCACACCTGGCCAATAAAGAATTCTGTTCCGTTCCGTTCCGTTCTGTTCCATTCCATGGCAAGAAAGGTGGTACAATGGGGCAAAGTTCGCTTAACAAATGTCTCACTTAACAACATAAATTTTGGTCTCAATTGTAGTCATAAATCGAGGAGTACCTGCACTTCAGCCAGGAGAATTAGCTGCGGTGAGGGGGGGGGACAGAGAGAGAGGGAGGGAGGGAGGGAGAGAGAGAAAGAGAGAAGGGCAATGTATACTTCCATACATTCTTGGACTGCATCCTCCATCCGGCCGCAGTCATCACCAACATTACAGGGGTCACCAAAAGTAATAACCTGTCTACATCGGTAGGCTACGCTACCTCGCTTTCTTACAGAAGCTCCCGCGCAGCATCTCCCAACTCTTCCTCCTCCTCCTCCTCCTCCTGAACCCTTCGGGGTCTCTCCCTCCCCCGCCTCTCTCCCCTTCGGGGTGGTGGGGGGAGGGGGCGTGACTTCAATCCCACTTCCTCATCGAAGGGGGAGGTGAAGAGTCGGGTTGGCGCAGTGCGCCTGCGCAGCGGGCGCTACACCCCAACCAAACAGTCAGCGGCTGGCGGTTCGGCCGTAAGAAAGTGTGTTGGCGAGCGCGGAGGAGCGCTGTCGGTTTGAGAGGGAAAGGAGAGGCCGACGGTTGCTTTGGTTGGTGGGTGGGTGGGGCCGCGCGCGCTAATAAGCTGCCTGTAGCTTCGGGGCGCCCGGGACGAACAAAGGGCCGGGTCCGGAGCAGTGGGGCTGAGGGCTTCATGGAAGTCCCGCTCCTTCCTCCGTTGCGGACGCTCGCCTGCCGTTGGGAAAGGTCTGTGGAGGCTACGTGCGTGGAAGGGCTCCGCCTCGGGACCCAGTCAGAAGCCTGAGGTTGACCGGCGGCTGCGAAGCCTCCGGGGCGATCGAGAAAGCGACGTTCAACGGCCTCCCGCTCGGTGATTGCAGCAACCTGGAGGAGGTGGCGGCGGCGGCGGCGGCCTCATCGACGACCGTCGTTCTTCGAGCAGAACGGCGTCGCTAAAGCCTAGTGGCCCCCGTCCTTCCCTCCGTGTTCTTCTCCTGCTTCTCTCTCCCGCCGCCCGTTTTCCCCTTCCCAGAAAAAAACAAAGCTCTGTCCGAGGAGCTGTTGCCATCGGCTGCGCTTCTTTGCCCCGGGCTTGACGGGACTGCGATTCTGGGGAAGCCCCAAGAGAGGCGCCCAGGCAGGCCGGAGGTGGGGGGGGGAGCTCTTTTGGGCCACCCAAAGGGAAAGACTGCTTGGCCTTGGCTCCAAACGGCGGGATACGAATATTTCTCCTCTCTGCCCGTGAATAAACTGGCTGCATAGCCTCAGGCGTATCGCTTAGATTAGAACAGCTCCGGGTTTATTGGATGTGATTTGTTTCCTCTTTTTTTTTTTCTTTTTTTTTCTAACCGTGGCAATTTTTTTTTTTTCTTCACTCTCCCACCATTTTAAGTCTTTTCGAACAGTATTGAAGTGGGGTGACTGGATGGAGAGATATACGAGATTACTTTTTGGCTTCTTTTGATTGTGGAGCAGATTGATATGACTAGGTGCCTGTAATAAACACGAGCATCTCGTCCAGAAGGATTTTTAACAATAAAATAGCGATTTTTTTTTAAGAGCTGAAAATGATTCTGAAGTGGATTTTGCCTTACTGGAGCTACTTGTTCTCTGTGCCCATTTTGGTCCTGTTTAACTGTTACCCTCTCCGAGCTAGTGCAGATAATACCAATCTAATATATTATACAGCTCTCATAAATGTCACTGTGTTGAATCCCGATCGTTCAACATCTGCTTCAATAACACTTGAACGTGCACGCTATGGACAAACTTCCCCCAAAATAGGTGTCAAAGGCCTACTTCTGGCACCTTTGCCAATCAATGGAGGTAAGTCTTTTTTGTAGCTTTTCCTTCTATGTGCTATGTTACTATGTGCTGCAGTTCGGAGCAGTTCCTTTTGATTAAAAGTATGTGCAGAAGTCTCTTTTCATTCCAGAATCCAAGAGTTCAGGATGCATTTTTACATATCCTTATTTAAGTAATCTACTATAATGAAGCTGAAGTATTTTGAATCTGACTAAGGTAAATTTGGATAATATCTATGTGTACATTATGTATAAAATTAATAGAAATGTACATATAAAGCCACATTTATAGTTTATATGTTGTGGTGTTTAATGCTGTAAGCCACCAGAGTCACCTGTGTGTGAATTCAGCGACCATATAAATGTTTAATAAATACAAGGAATAGTGTATCATAAGAATAGATCTGGACAGGACAGGACAGGAGTTGGAAGGGACCTTGGAGGTCTTCTAGTCCAACCCCCTATACCATAGTTGTGTTGGGATCATAAAAGCATGAATCATGAAAATCATGATTCTTGAGAGCCAGTTTGGTGTAATGGTTAAGGTGCTGGCCTAGAAATCAGGAGACTGTGAGTTCTAGTCACATTTTAGGCATGAAAGCTGGTTGGGTGACTTTCGACCAGTCACTCACTCAGTCCAATCTACCTCACAGTGTTACTGTGGAGAAAATAGGAGGAGGAAGGAGTATTAGGTATGTTTGCTGCCTAGAGTTACTTATAAAGTAATAAAGGGCGGGATAAAAGTCAATAAATAAACAATGAAGGCTTACAATGGTGCATTTTATTGGTAATGTTATCAACCAAAGGAATAAATAATAGCTTCCTATTAAATTGCTTCTTAGAAAAATCTTGATTTGTTTTCATAGAAAGTATGGAATGAATTTTAGTGAGTATTCAAGGTCATTGAAGAGCATTTTTAGGTAAGCTTCTTTTAAAAAAATAAAACCATAGAATCAAATTGGCTGTTGAAAAAAGTTGCTGCTGAATGTCATGATTTTGAAGAGCATAGCATTAAAATGTATGTAGGGATGAGTGGTGTGCATAGAATCTTTCATCAGTTGATCTAAATAAAATATCAACTGTATTTAGAATTTCAAACTTGTATTGTCATTTTTGAAGGTAAGAAATTGGGCCAACTTGTTTGAAAAGAAGAGTAGGATATAAATCAAATACGTAAAAATAATGTTTTCAATAACACAAACTTTGTATAATATTCAACACATCCATATATTTCTTGACTGCCTCTAGAAATAGTAATGATTAAATTACTTTCAATTATCCTGGAATTTTATTTAGCTTGCTTGTAAAAATGCTTAAGAATCCTCATACACAAGAAAAAAATATAAGTTGACATATTTATTTAGAAGTTGTTTATTCTTTCTTCTAATATGAGTTGAAGGAAAATGTGAGAAACCAAAGTAAAAATGTATTGTAGAATCTATGTTTTGAAAGTGTAAGTATTTGCGTGTATTGGTAATTTTTTTCCTTGAAGGATGAGAAAGTGCCATAAAGTTCTACTGTGTGTTGTTTCAGAGCTAATTTGAAAAATAAGTTTATATTTACATTTATTTATTTGTATCCTGTCTTTATTTTTTTTATTTTTTTTATTTGATTTATATGCCGCCCTTCTCCGGAGACTCAGGGCAGCTTACAATGCGTTAAGCAATAGCCTTCATCCTTTTGTATATTTATACAATAAGTCAGCTTATTGCCTCCACAAACTGGGTCCTCAATTTACCTACCTTAGAAAGGATGGAAGGCTGAGTCAACCTTGAGCCTGGCAGGATTCGATCTTACTTTAATTGCAGACAGCTGGTGTTAAATTACAGAGCTCTGTCTGTTGAGCTATCCAGGCTCCTTATTATTTTTACAAATAACTTAATATGATGAACATATCCGATATACCTTTGTCCTCCTATTTTCCTCACAACAGTATCCTGTGAGATGAGTTGGCTGAAAGAGAATGTCTCACCCAAGGTCACCCAGCTGGTTTTCATGGCTATGGCAAGACTAGAACTCATGGACTTTCGTTTTCTAGCCTGGTGCCACAACCACTAGACAAAACTGGCTTACCTTTCTAGCCTGGTGATTTTATTTACACACAAACATAAATATACACACATTTGATATAGGTAGCAAAATCTTAATTGCCTTGAACTTCAGTTTCATTTCCTATTCTTTTGAGTCTTTGGGTTTTTTTTTTCAATATTAGGTATATTATTTTTTGTATTTTAAATTGGCTGGAAATATGCATTTGGGGCACTTTTGGATTCAGTATTCAAAGTGTCTTAAAATACCATATCATGTAAATCAATTATTGCTTCATAAAACAGCTGTACACAATACTTTTTCTGTTAATTGCAAAGAAAAGTAAAGTTTTCATGTGTCAAAACTGAAATAGCTAGAGAATGTTTTGAAATGCTAATGTATGGTGCAAAGAAATGCTGTTGTGTATTCTTAAATTTTATTTGCCATGATCTTCAGAAGATTTCTATGATATGGTAAATCTAGACCATTTGGAATATGATAATTATCAAGAGACATCAAATGGGGGGGGGGGCAGGAAGGGGAACAGAGAATTTTCAGTTAATGGAGTTGTGACAAAATCAGTAGTCTTTCTCCAATCCAGTGTAACAGGAAAGAGAACTGGAATTATGCTTCAGTGCAGTCTCTTCTGAAGTAGGTCATGATGGCAAAGTCTTTACACTCTCTTGTGACACTCACTGCACATAAGCTAACATCCCCTTGTACAAAGCAGCCAGCTTCTCTCTTGTACTGAGGTCTGAGACCCTAGAAAGAGTGCAGAAAAGAGGAACAAAGATGATAAAGGATCTGGAGGCTAAATTGTGTGATTAAAGATTGAGAGAATGTCTAGCCAACCAAAGAAAGGTTGGGGGAAGGGGATGATAACTCTCTTCCAGTACTAGAGGGGCTGCCTCAGAGAAGTGAGGATTGACCTATTCTTCAAAGCACCAGAGAGCAGGATAAGAAGTAAATGGGTGGGCATTTGTTAAAAGAGACCTTGAAGTAAGGAGAAATTTTCTGATGAGAACAAAAAGCTTGTCTCCTGGAGTTGTGAGTGATCCATCACTGAAGGTTTTAAAAAAATAGAATGGACAACCATTTGACCGGGATGGTATAAGGTCTGTTGCCTTGAGCAGGGGATTGGATTAAAAGACTTCTGAGTCCCATCCAGCCCTATGGTTCTATATTCTGTGTGCTAAATCTGCTCTAGAGAACCTTTCAAGTCTCCAGAAAAGAGTTGTGTGAGGAGGGAATGGGAAGTCTGTGGAGTGGGGGGGACGACAAATTGACTGTTTTGTTGCTGGTATATTTGCTACTGTAGAATGGATAGCATCCTTAGTTGTTTATACCATAAAGTGGCATGGGATTTTGGCAGGATAATGTGCTAATGGGGCCTGTGAATAAGTGAGAATTTATTCTAGGGCAGTAAACTGTAATTTGAAACTATGGCTTGTTGGCTTCATGAGATGAAATAATGTTTTGTTTGTGGGTTCCTCAATTATTTCTGCTTTGTTTTTGTTCTTTATCTAGGCCTCTGACAATTCCATAAAGGCTTAAAGTGAATGGGTTTAAAAATGGCAAATGCAATTTAATATAAGCACATGCCAAATGATGCACATTGGCAGCTGAAACCCTAGAGGTTCCATATACGTTAATGGGAAGTGTGCTGATAATGACTGATCAGTCTCACTGATCAGGACTAATCATAGAGTCACAATGGGAAATTCAGTGAAAATGTCAACTCAGTATATAGTTGGTATTTTAAAAAGATAAATGTCATGCTTTGAATTAATGGGTAGGGAAGTGAACATAAAGCTACCAATATAGTCCTTATATAAATCTCTGATGAGTCATATTAAGTCATACATGGTATGAAAAAATATGACAAATATTACTTTTTTGTCCCTCTCAGTCTTAGAATTTAAGTCATCTATTTAAATGTAGGGACAGACAGATCTTAAATTCTTTACAAAGGTAAATGTTTGATTGCATTGTCAATTAATTGAGGATTTAAAAGGGAACAGGATTATTTCATAGAGGTTTAGAGTGATGGTGGCCAGGAGTCTTGGAGGTTTACTTTTTCTGAATCACAATAATAACTACCAACTGCTAAAGAGCGAAATGAAAAAGGCTTCCACCTTTCTTTTTATATGAACTTACTAAATAAAATTTAGTTGGTCAATGATATCTAGAATGCTAGATAAATCATTGAAATGATCCAGCAGATTTCTCATCTTAAAGCAGAAGCAACCATAAAGTGGTGGAGAATCAATCATAAACTTACAAATGCAACATATACACGTGACTCATTATTAGTAATAACTGTTTAGTAAACTAATAGTTAAAGCAAACCATAGCTCAGCGTGATGTATGATTTAATAATGAATCTTCTTATGGCTGCTATTTTTCCATGGGAGAAAATGTAATAGGTGTGTGCTGTTCTGCCCCAAACAGACCACTATTCTGATCAACCCCAGGGGGAAATACATATATTTTAGTACTTTAAAAATTAGTAATAACCTAATTCCATTGATAATTGTACAATATTTAGGAAATGTCTCAGCTTGGAGGGAATTGGGACAGTAAGTACTTTCCTATCATAGTCTGTTGCTCATGATTGTTTTAGTTTATGTAATGTTCATATATATGTAGCAGACCATGTTACGATATGATTTTTTTAAAATCAAGCAAGCAAGCAAAGAGTATGGTAGTATTTTTTTAAAAAAAATCTCTGTATCAGTAGTTGTATCCCAAAGGTTGTTTTTTTTAAAGAATTTAAAATAATTCTTTTGTTTATAACTTCTAATTTTGAATTCATATATTAAAATCTTTATTTTTGCAATTTATTAACAGTCTTAATGTCATTTTCATTTATTGATAGCTGATGGGCTGCCTAAGGCAGTTGCGGGAGGTTCAATATAAACCACACATGAGTGTCTCTCTATTTGTAGGGAAGATTTTCAGCGCCAGAGCAAACCTCCCAGGGTCTCCCCTACA